TTTATTTTCCACCACTAAAGCTGGCATTTAAGGAACCAGTACACACTTATCTCCAAATGGTAAGGAATGAGTTGGTTAACAACTGCTAAGATGTGTCTCTCAAGCTCCCAAAACCATATGGCTTTTCCCTTTGTCTCTTCTCTAATGAGGAAAGTTTTAGTGGCGCTGCATTAAAGCATCTTAATGTGGAATTGTCTGCCTTTAGAAGGAGAAAGCAATAAAGCAGGTTAGACAACCTTATAATGGATTTGGAGCTGTTCATTAGTTGATTCATTCTGAAGCAGGGAAGCTCGATTGATGTAAGCTTCTGCTTGAACTGGGTCATCATCCTCCAGATACAGCCTGGCAATTTTCAGGTAGGTCTCAAGTTTATAATCTACATTGTACTGCCTGTAGAGGAAAGAAAAAAAGCAAGTGCTCAGAGTTGCTCCAAAACTACCTTTGCTCTTAGCTGCTTCAACATTTGTTATGATTCTTAAGCACTTGGCATCATTTGCTTTACCCTGCTTTCTTCTTCCCTACTGCCAAATTAGTGCTTTCTGTACAGAGAAGGAAATTTCAGATGAATGCCAATACAGAATTGGCTCCTGCAAACACCAGTAGAAATAATGCTGCCCACCAAGACAAAATGTACACTCTCATAACCTGTTTTTTGTGGACTGGAAGTTTGCCACCAGTGGTGAGCCACTTGAGTTAAGAATCAACCTTGCAGTGCAACAAATAGGTGCTAAATAGGCAAAACCTACAGCAATTCCTTCTATGTGCACAATGAGAAAGGGGAAAGGACTGCCAGAGAAAAATTACTGCAAGGGCTCTACACCTAAAAAACCCAAACAAACCAAACTAAAACAAACCCCACCTCACAAGCACACAAAAGAATCCCCAACTGCATTTGTTAATATCCAAATCCAGTTTCAAACTATGTCTTCATTTTGAACTGAGAAGGTGGACACATTGAACAACTGCCACCTTCCAAGGACCTTTCAATAACCTTAGAAACATTTCTGCAAAATACTCTTAAAAATACTTGTTTATCAACAAGACTAATTAATAGTGGGTAATTTCTGATGCAGCAAACCCCAAAATTCTCACTTGCTGGTCTAGTTCAGTACAGAGAGAGCAGGTACAGCTAACACCACAGAACTGGGTGTAACATACTTTTGCCCTGTTTCCAAAGGGATCCCCACCAACACTTGTGCTGCATTTCTCCAGTCTTCTTCTTTCTCATAGATTGATGCAAGATGTTGCCTTATTGAAGCCACCTAAAGGACAACAAAATCAAGAGCAAAAGTAGCTATCATTTATAAAGCTTTTAAAAAGATGAAACAAATCTTTCAAGATTTGGAGCACCAAGAGTCACAAGTAATTTCTTGCAGTTACATCTCGTATCATGCCAGTGAGGTAGGAGTGAGGTGATCTGTGATTAGATCCTAATGAAGAAACTTCTGCTTTGGAGAGTGCCTGCCAGCAGGTAAAGTGTCAGTGCTTACAACCTGGGTTTTAACTGCAAGTGTGGGTAAAGAAAAAGAAATCATCTGATGTGTTGGATTTAATTTATGCATAATCATGATGACATACATGCAAGTGCATTTAGCTCAGAGTAAAAGCTGCTTAAAAAAAGCTAAAGAGAAGCAAATAAAAATCATTACTTTCTACTCCAATACTAGATCCTAAGGGCTTTTATATAAACAGCTTCTCTAAGAACTCTCAGATGATACTGTGCATTTGTACAACAAAACACAGAATTGAACTGAAAATGCAGAGCAGCACATTCAGTAGTTAAGCAGAACTGGATTTCAAGAAAATATTTTTTCCTGGTAAAATGACTATGGCTAAAATAAACACACAGAGAAAATTGATTTATTTTGAAACAAAAGCTATTTTTCAAGGTGCATGCTCTTCACACCACCTGTCTGTTCTACTCCTCGGGTAAAAGGAAATACAGTGAGTAGCAGCCTGTCTCTCCAGACACCTCCAGCAGCTCCAGGACTGTTTCATTGTAACAAGCCAGTTACTGGAAGCAGAGGAATTACATGCCCATCATCATCACCATGAAGTGACAGTTTGTAATCCTTGCACAGTCCTAAGTGCTCTCTGCATTTAGCTCAGGTTTTCCATGTACAGGACTGAAAAACTGGACTCTAAGTAGAAATACCTGTTTTGAGCAGCTTTTTGAAAGGCTTGAAATAGTCAGCAGATAAGGAGGGGAAAATCTAAAGCCAAACCCACAAGCCAAAACCCATCTCACTATTGATCTCTCACCTGTTCTTCAAATGAAATAACTCTGGGCTGTATCTTTTCCAAGGTGAAGTGGTAAATTTCTTTGGCTGTGCTGTCAGGGAGACTTGGAAGATGTGTACAGAAATCTGTCAGCAGCTGCCGCGAGATCACCAGGCTGACATTCTCATTCACCACTGGTTCAGAGATGCACACAAGAAAAGGATGCAGTATTTTTCAGTGCCTTCACTACAGGTGAAAATTTGCTTTTACATTAAATTTGAATACTTAAATTTTAAAAACTATGCAAGTGAAGGGGTTTTTTTTCCTCTTTTTATAAAGGTGGGCTTTTCTGTTCTTTCAGAAACTATTTACACTAGAGGTCCCCAGAGTTCTAACCCCTGACAGATAAATGAATTTTTCACCTTGATTTATGGTTCTCAGTTGCTGAAATATCTTAGACAAAGTAACTGTTTGGGCTAAATCTCACTAAGCTTATTCTCAACTTTAAAAACATTATAGCAGACATAATTTACAGAGATGTTCCAAACACCCAGTACAACACAAAAAAAACCCAAAAAAACAACCAACCAACCAAAAAAAAACAACAACAACAAAAAAAAAAAAAACCAACAAAAAAAAACAAACAAACAAAAAAAAAAAACACCCCAAAAAAAAAAAAAAAACCCAAAAAAAAAAACAAACAAAAAAAAAAAAAAAACCAACAAAAACAAACAAACAAACAAACAAACAAAAAAAAAAAACACCCCAAAAAAACAAAAAAAACCCAAACAAACAAACAGACAAAAAAAAAAACCAAACCAAAAAAACCCCCTAACAATTTCTTGTTAGGGTTTCAGTTTTACACATGTCTGAAGAAGGAGGCTGTCAGTTTAAATACCACAAATTCAGCACTCAACAGAGACAGCTTTGTTTTCACCTTCCACTGCTGACAGGTTGGAAAAGTGTAACAACCACAAAGCTTACAAATCTATTCCCTCTTCACTTCTGAATGTGGTGACGGGGGTTCCTCTTCCCATTGTGTCTGAGCTCCAACAGGACAAAAATATATTGCATTTACACAGTCTCACGTAGAGCTAACAAATCCACAACCCCACAGACCTCTGGCCTTCACTCACTGCACAATCACTTACCCCACTTGTGCACTTACTTGCTTCTACAAAAGCTTTGAGAGCTTCAAGCTGCTCCACACCCGACAGCTGAATGGCTTTTTCCAATATTTGACGGTACCTGTCCATAAATAAATTTTTAAAAGGTTAAAAATCACACATTTTTTCACTAAGAACTTCTGCCTCTCTGCATACTTTCTATGTCAGAGCCCTATTTTTGCTCATATCTTCTATACCTTGAGGTGGCAATTCTCCAGTTTGTTCCCAAGTGTCATAAACACTCACCTGGAATTGGTACCTGGCTCTTCTTAAATCCCAGGAGGAGATTCTCAGATAACAGAACCCAATCATTTTGTTATCTAAGATGATATGTGCAATTTTGGAAGTCTAAAATAATAATAATCATCATCATCATCATCATCCCAGGATAGCACATAGAAAAAGTAATGAAAACTGTATTGCTCACAGATTCAGATTAATCAAGGTATTAAAAAATTCAAATGTGAGTGAGAAACGGTGTTGTGATAAATATTATGTTACAGCCACTTGACAGCAACACAGGTGTACTCCATGTGTTTTCAAGTGTTTATTCCTTTAAAAAATAGCAAGTTCTCCTTTCTTGTTTCAGCAAGCTAATGAAACTTGGCCTCAGTGTGTGTGACACTGATGAAGTACTACATCCGCGTGGAAGCCACATTTTGAGGGGAATATTTCCAAGGTTTTACACGAAAATCCTAGAAGTGTAAAATCCTAAATCCACAGCCCCCCTAGAACACAAGCAACTGGACAGAATTCCAGGTGACAGATCCGCATCTGACTGGACTCTCGGAGTAAAACCTGTGTGGCACACCGCGCCACGAGAAGCTCAGCCCCTAAGGGCTGCCTCCAAAACACGCACCGAATGCAAATGGCAATAATTCTTAATAACCACACGAGAGTCGCTGATACACCCACGGCAGCAGAGGACAACAAACTCCCCGGCCTGTCGCTGTGGCACACCCAGGGGCAGCAGCCGAGCCCTGAGGGGGCCGAGCGGACACGCGGGGGCCCGTGAATGAAAAACTACACAACCGTGAAGCGAAACCTTTCTGTCTCCTTTTTATTCGAAGAAACGCGGCCGTTGGGCACGACCCACCCTCCCAGCGCACGGCGCTCCCTCACCCCGCGGGCTCCTTGCCCCAAGGCGGGGAGGCGGCGGCGGCCGGCAACTCACTTTCCCGCCAGGTCCTTGTGGGAGCCGCTGGAGTTCATCAGCTGCGCCAGCTCCTGCCTCACCGCACCCGCCGCCATCTTGGGAGCCGCCTCCTCCCACCATGGAGCCGCGCGCGCCGGCGGGAGCAGTTGGGGGGGGCGTCACGTGACGGGGGAGCGCGCGCAGGCCGCGGGAGGGGGCGCGGGCGGGCCGGCCCCACGCGCGGTTAGCGGGGGAGGAGGGAATATCCCACGGGGTTATCCCACGGGATTTACACCACAGCTGGGATAAGGCCGGACCACCACCGCCGCCGCCTCCTCCTCCTCTACGGGTGGTGCCCGCGCGCGGCCCCGGAAGCGGACGGCGGGGCGGGGCGGTCCCGGAAGCGTGGGGCGCTGCGCCGGCGGTTGCCAGGGCGGCGCGGTATTATGGGATGCGGCGGGGGAATGGCGCGGGGCGCGTGATTTTGAACAAACGCGGCGGCGGGATCGGCGCGGGCGCGGCCGCCGCCGCCGCGGCCGCCGGGAGCGGCACCGGGGGGCGCCGGCACCGGCGAGAGGCATCGCTAGCGGAGGAAGAAGAAGAGCGCCCGCCCGCCCGGTGAGTGCGGGGGGCGGGAAAGCGGCGGCGGGAGGACAGGGAAGGGGGCGCGGGCACGGCTGACAGCCACCTCCCGCCGGGAAAGAACAGGCCCGACCTCGCCGGACCCTCTCCCCGCGGCGGGCCGGGCTCCTTGGTGGCCCCGCCGGCCTCCCCGGGATAGCGCGGACAGTCGGTCCCGGCCGCCTCTCCGCCGCGGGGGTGCCCGCCCGGCGCGTCCCCTCCCCGCCGCTGGCCGGGTCAGCTGCGCCCGGAGCCGCGGCGGAGCGGCCGGGTCACGGCGGCCCCGCGGCGCGGAGATGCTCCCCTCGGAGCGGGGTCTGCGCGGGACCCGCCGGTGCGGAAGGGGTTGGGGTTCGCGGCTCGGGGGCGGCGCCGGGGCGGGGCGGCAGGGGCAGGTGCGGCGGGGGCGGGAGCGGCGGTGACGGGCTGAAAATGGCGGATCTTTCGAAATACGGCGGCGGCCGCCGGCGCTGACGGGCCCGGGCCGCCCCCGCGAGGTGAGACCCGGCTTGGGGGCCGCGGGGGGGAGTCGGGCGGCTCCGGGGCCCGGGCTAGTCGCCGGCAGGCGCCGTTCGGGAAGACCGGGTCGCTCCCGGGGAGCCGCGGGCGCCGCGCGGGGCACGGCCGCGGGTGGGTGAGGACGGCGCGGCCGTGTCAGCGGGATGCTCCGGCTGTGCCCCGCCGGGCGGGTGCGGCGCTGCCTCAGCTCACCCCGGTGCCAGGGCGCACCTGTGGCCTGAGCGTCGCTGCCTGGCTGTGGACAGCGCCCAGCTCCAAGGGAATGTGTCTGCTTCTGGACTCCTCAGTACAAAAAAACAAGGAGCTCCTGGAGAGGGTCCAGTGGAGGCCATGAAGATGACGAGGATCTGGAGCATCTCTTGTATGAAGAGAGATTGTGGGAGCTGGGCTTGTTTAGTCTAGAGAAGAGAAGACTGATGTCATTAATGCATATAAATATCTCAAAAGCAGGAGCCACGAGGATGGTGGCAGTTTTTGGTGGTGCTCAGCAACAGGGTATGGATAAATGGCCATAAGCAAATATACAAGAAGCTTCACCTCAGTATGAGGAAGAACTTTATGTTGAGAGTGGCAGAGCACTGGAACAGGCTGCCCTGAGAGGTTGTGGAGTCTCCCTCTCTGGAGACATCTGGAACCCTCTTGACCATGGACCAGGTGTCAGCTGCTCCAAGTGGCCTTGTCTTGTCAGGGAGGTAGGACTGGAGTATTTCCAGGAGTGCATTTCCAACTTAACAATTCTGTGAATGTAGCCAGAGCATCTTTTGTGATAGCCCCAGCTTTTCCTGTTACCATCTTGCTTGTTATGACGTATATCAGGATTCAGAATGTTTTTAATTATTTGTGGCCTTGACTCTAAAGAATGTCATGTACTAATTATGTAATGCTTGATATTGAGAATTGGGGTTCTGGAAAGCCCTGTGGCATTGAGAACACAAGAAACTGTCCACTGGAACATACTGTTATCAGGATGAAAGCTCTCAGACTTAAGATGTCAGGTAAGGAAAGGACAGATATTTAAATCACCTTTCATTAGGTTCATCCTTCTGAAGAGTCCCTTGAAATATATTACAGTTACTGTAGGAAATACTGAATATAGAGAAGTAATTTGAAGTGTTCTTTGCAATGTTTACATTAAACTGGCAATAGCAGGTTACTTAATCATTGAGTGTGTGGTTATCTTCATAGTAGCTTTTGGCTTATTGGAGGCAAGAAGAATAGTAGGTTATTAGCTGAATATATTTCTTCTGTCAGTGGAATCTTTTTTGTACAATAAAATGCATTAGACTTGTCTTTTTTTTCTTTTTAAATTATTATTTGTCAAGACATGCAGTTTACGTATCTGTCTTACATGTTACATGCCTTGTCCAGAATTGCACCAAGCTAGAGAGAGATGTGTGGCTGTATACAAACAGTCTTAGGCTGGCTTGGAGATTGTGTTTGAAAACACAGCCCAGCCTCCCTATGGGATAAAAAAGTACTTCATGCTCGTAGTGATGGGGTAAGCTTCAGCAGTTTGTTATGCAAGGCTGCTTGTTCAGCTTACGTATCAAGAACTATCTGCTGATGTTTGGTTTGCTTATGCTTTGATGTCCACACTCAGATCGTTTGTAACTGAATGCTCTGAACACTTCTGTCAGAATTCTTGAGAAGTTTTAAATGCTTTCAGGTGGAGTATCTGCTAACCACAGGTGCATAAGAAGGGTGATGATGAAGAGTACTGTCAGAATTCAACCTTAGAGATGTTGTTATCTCATACACTGCAATATCTTTTATTTTAGATTTGGAAAAACTGTCAGAGCCCCTTAGGCTATTTTCCCTTACACTTGTTTGAAAAATGTTTTCACTGGGAACTAAGGTAGATTGGAGGGGGTTGTGTTTTGCTTTCTGCTTCAGCAACAAACTGTGGTTCCTTATCTGTCACTTGGTGTGGTTGTGCTTTTGTTCTCTATATCTGCTGTAGAGGTAGTGCTCACATGCTGTGAGAAGCACATCCTAATGTCCTACAGAGGTTGTACACTACAGCAGTGCAAGGGTTTTGTGGGCCCCTTCATAGCAAGTACTTAGGGGACATACTCAGAGTTCTTTAGGTATTTTATTATTATTCATAGTTTCAGGGGCTTCCAAAGAGAAATGGAAAATGTTTCTTGAATTCTTGTTTTGAAGGTTTGTGTTTTCCAGGGCCTTATATTTTAATAGCTTGGTTTTCTCAGTTGCTCAGAAAGCTGATAAGCAGCATGTGGCTTTCAGTACAGCCTGTGACTAGGCTTGCTCACCTGACAACATTAGAAGTCTGGAAAAGAATGTTCTTGCACAAGAAAGAGGGAGACTAACAGAAAAATCCCTTGATTAGTCATGGGGTGCAAAGCTACATGAAGTGGGAGATTCCCATGTTCCAGATCTGGATGTAGATTGGTAGCTCCTTAATTTGTGCATCACTGCCCTTCAGAAGCATCCTTCTGCTACTGGACGTGTTGCTGCCCACATGAGGGGTATGCCCTTAGTGTTGGGCTCTGCTTTGATCTATTGTCGTGATCTAGGTATGTACTGAACCCCCATCTTTAGGGACTGACTGTTTTGGGGTTTTTATTCCTTTGAAGTAACAGCAGTTTTTGTTACACACTCAAAAAGTCTGTCTTCCTTGGGTGAAACTTGTTTCTGTGAAGTCTTTCAGGTGTGATCCCTTGGTGCTGCTCTGGTGCTCATAGACTTTGAACAGAGCTGTCTCAGCACACTGACTCACCAGAATTTGTTTACTATTTTGTGAATTAGTTTTCTTCCTGGGTTGGACATCAGTTGGCTTGGAGAAAATGGGTTTGTGACAACCTACAGCTGGTTTTGGGTGGCTTTGCTCATGCCTGGCCCCTTCATCTGGGCTGCCCTTGCAGTTATACAGATTTTTGCTAGCACAAGGAGGGTAAATGGATGGAAACAAAAAGGCAAATGCTGAAGGTGGACAGGAGATCTTTAGCAGTAGTGCTGGCTTAGAACACACAGGGAATTGAAAGACAGGGAAAGTAATGCTGCTGCTCATGTACACACAAAGTCACAAATTTGCTGCTTGAAATGACCATTCAATAAAGGTATTGCTAGGATATTGCTCACACTAAATCCTAGGAAGTTGTAGCAGGTGCTTGTTTTATTAGTGTATAATTATCAGTTTGTTGACATATAAGGTTTTTTTAGCTTTTGCATTTCCTTTTAAAATTATAATGGAGGCATAAATTACTCAGAACATGCCAAGGGAAGAAGGGTCTCTTCACAACTGGTATGTGGACAAGTTGGTTTATTGGTTTTCTTTTCCTTGTCTAGTCTTAAAAAGAAATCAGCTAGCACCTCTATTGTAAACATGGCAGTGGAAACATGAACTTAAGCAAACTTCCCATTGGAAAAGAAATGGAACAAACCCAAAAACCTCAACTGTGTAATATAAAATTCTCATGTACATATCACTTGACAAGTGTCAGTTTAAACACGCAGGAGCTGCTAATTTGTGTGCCTTGGCCATTCTTCTGATCTGCTGCACGCCGTTGTTTGTGTGGTGTCTCAGGCAGCGAGCAGTTACTTAGCAGAGTGTAGAATAATGGGAAGGGAATGGAGTGCGTTGGTTGAGGGAATTATGGTTGCCTTGGGAACTATTTTGTGACTATAGATGGTTAATTTGTGGTAGAGGAACACCTGGTATTTTCTTAAGTATTCCTTGTAGCCGTTGGAAAAAAGACTGGATACTTCCACTGGTTATGTATTCAGCATTTGATAAGGAGTGAGGTTGAGTTTTTTTCCTTGCTATGGTTTCCCATTGATATTGTATTTAATAAACCTAGAGCCATGATCCTCTGGGAAGCATGCAGACAAATTGCCTCCATTACTTGTCTTATGTGGAGATTGGGAAAGAGAATGGAAGTTATTTTGTCTGTGTTCCACATACCTATTTTGTTACTGTGTTAAAGCTATTTACTTTCACTCTGCTATTACATATGCAAACATGGTGAGATTGCAGTCTTAGATGATTAATTTTTCCACTTACTCTTGTTAATCATAGCTTCCTCATGGATTCGTCTTTTTCTGGTTTCATGACACGCATTTTGTTAAAGCATTTCTAGCTCAGTAAGCTTAAACAAAAGCCTCTCTGTTGAAAAAACAGTGCTGAGTGATTTTGTAATTCTTTGTTTTATGACAAAACAAACTTTTCAGTTTTAGAGATAAAACATAGAGTGTCAGAGAGAGTAAGAAAATGGGGAATGCCTAAGATGAATGACACTATTTTACCCATTACTGGAAAAAATAGCAAAATTGAAGAATGGCAGTTAATTAGGAGAAATATAGTACAGCAAGATCACCTGCATGCAATTGTGCTCTTTCCTTTGACAATATGCCAGCAGAGCAGGGTGAGTCTTGATTATACATATACTTCTGTGGAGGCTTTTCTAACGAATGAATGAAAGCATGTCTGGTGTCAATAGTTTCTTAAGAACTGCATT